AAATATTTAATTACCTATATTAATTTACATTCTCGTTTCCCATTCCTATAATGTTATATATGGAGTAGCACCTATATTGGTTCAGTTAACTTGAATAAAGGTATAAGCAAAATGTATTCTAGATATTTTATTATAATATTCTGTATTTCTCTCATTAATAAATCAGTTGAACTACAAATTTTTACTACATTTTTGCCTTTTATATTTAATAAATGAGATTGAGTTTTTACTTTTTTGATTATGTTTTAGAAAAATTGGAAATTATTTATGTACATAATACTTACTGTATAAACCTAATTTAAATTTTATATTAATTGTTCATAATCATTCTAAATCAAAATAATTTAATAAATGTTTGTTACTGTTGTGTTTAGAAAATTGTTTCAACAACGYCATCATCGTAGAGTAGAAATTGAAGCTCAGCTGCGTAGAGCACAGATTGAAGAACAGTCTAGTAGTGAAAATTCTAGTTCTGAAGATGAAGATTCATTTGAAGATGAATCAGAAGAAGAAGTAGGTGAAGATGAATCAGAAGATGAAATGGTAAATGAAGATGAATCAGAAGAAGAAGTAGTAAATGAAGGCGAATCTGAAGAAGAAGTAGCAAATGAAGATGAATCAGAAGAAGAAATAATAATTGAAGATGGATCAGAAGAAGAAGCTGATGAATCAGAAAAAGAAGAAGAGGAAATAATTGATGAAGAAGAGTACAATACAAGTTTCAATGAAAAAAGCCTGGAAAATAGCAGTAGGAGTCATAATAGTTCTAATAATCTTTCTATAAATACAATAAAAGTTAAAGTTGATGATAGGTAAGAAATATTGAAYGTTAATTTAGGTGTTCATGATAAATTTATTTTTTATTTTTTAGTAGTAAAATATCTGTTGTCCATGATGAATCTAAAGAAACATTACAGGATAATACTGTTATTGTCAATAATAATGTATTAATGAACAAAAATAATTCTGATCATGATGATGAAGATGATGATGATAAATCACAAATATTGTACAACTCTAATTTTAATATGAATGATCTACAAAATCAAGTTGTTGAATGGATGATTACCAGAGAAAGTCAAAAACCATATGGTGGAATAATTGGCAAGTTTAAATTGAAAATATTAAAATATATGTAGTWACTTAATTTACTTTATATTGAYATAGCAACTGATATGGGTACCATCGATTGCAAAATTACAATATTAATGCATTTGTTATCAAAGTCCAATCTTCCTAATTCGGATAACACACAATCAGAAGGAGAAACTGATTTGGATGAAACCATTTCCTCAAAAGGATGTACATTGATTTTATGCCCAAGATCAAGTATAGATCATTGGTTTGATCTTTTGAAAAAACAGGGTTCATTAAACGTGTGGCTTCATTATGGAAGATGTCGAGATATATCACTACATGAGTAATTGATTTTAACATTATTATTATTAAGTACATACTTAACAATTGCAATACATATTTTCTTTTAAAATTCTAGTTTAACTCAAAAAGATGTCGTTATCACAACAGTTACACTGGTTCTAACAAGTTTCCGCAACAAACTAAATGTAAGAATATGCTATTAATAACTCATTTTTAAGACAATAGGTAGTTAGTTAAATTATAATTTTGTATTTGATATTTACTTCATGTAAGTTGTTTAGTGTTAAAAAACAATATTATGAATCATAACTTGTTTATGACATAATTATCATGCTATTAACTCAATTTCTTTCAAAAAATGTCTAAAAAAATATCCTGATACAGTCTGCATGAATTAAAAAAAAAAAAAATGTTTATCACATTTTAAATTTTATTTTTAGGATCCATTATATCAAATAAAATGGCATCGAATAATATTGGATGATATCAAGCTTTATAATTATAAACAGCAAACTTCCAAGGCATTATGTCAATTATCAGGTATTTGTCATTGGGTTTTTTCTGGACCAACAATTATTGACAACGAYGATGATGAAGCTATCTATAGCTTAATTAAATTTATACATTATAAGCCATTAAACATATTTGAAGTGAGATAAAAATTATTATCCACTACAGTAATAAAGGAACTATATTTTAAATTTGATTTCAGAATTGGAAAAACTGGATAAAAGCAAATAAAACTGTATCAATATATGAAAAGTTGGGGCATTTATATTATAAAATGAAGATTGTTTGAATAGAAGATGATAATTATTACCTATATTTAACTAATTTAATGTTATTAATTATTAATTTTTATATTGAATTATTTTACTCAAATTCTAGCTATTTATATATTGTTTTATACCAATGTCCTAAAAGTTAATTTACTTATTAAGACTAGTCAACAAATTTTTAATTTTAGATGTACCTATGTATCAACAAATAGTATTTTAATTGTAAAGAATGTATCATAAAATATTGTCAATCACAGATTTTTACTAAATATAAATTAATATGCAGGTAATACTAATGTAATTCATATTAAATACAGCTGGAACAGAAACTCTTTTCCCAAAGTTGTTGGGGAATTTTAAATGGTTTTAGTTAATAGAGTGGTACCAATATTTAACTATTTAAGTAAAGTCAAATCTGAAACAAGCATAGTCATCGTGAATGTTTAATATTAAAAAAGTTCAACATGACGACATTCTAAATGAAAACTGACAATTTGATGTTTTTGGTGCTCTAGTTTAGATATAAGTATGTATTCTGGCCATTTTTTATTTTCAATAGTAACAGTTATATAATTAATTTACCAAATTAAATAATAATTAGATTGTCTATAATATCTACGATAGCAAATTATAATCAAAAATGTATCATTAATAATTGAATTTAATGTTATTTCTGTTGCAAATGTTCTAATTGGAATCAATTATTTTATGATATTAAAATGAGTGACTACTGACTGATACAGASAATTTAACTGTAWTATTTTTAAATTGAGTTTTATATTTGAGTAAGAAAATCAGATTTCATGTACAATTGATTTAGGTTTTTAATTCACAATATACTAATTAAATATGATTTATAAATAATAGATAATTTAGCCATTTAGGTTATAAAATAGCTTCTAAAAATAAGATCTGATGTAATATAAATAATATTAAAATATATAATACAAGTTAAACCACGTAATATCATTGATTATAAATACTATTAGTATTAGGGCCAGTTGTACCGTCTCTGATTAAAGTTAACCGGAGTTTAATCGGCCGAATTCGCACGGTTAAATATCTGTCATCAGCTGATTAAGCGTAATCGAAGTTTAACCATAGACGGAACAACTGGCCCTTAGTATTAACAAGAAATTCATATTGTTATTAAAAAAGAATAAATTATTTAATAAGATAAAAATTGAATTATATAATATGGTAGTTAAATTGTCTTCGTCCACCATCCCTTGTTGTATATTTGAATGACAAACAATATATTTAATATTATTTAATTTATGATGAGATGAGTAACTAAACTTGATTCTACTAATCAAAAATCTATATTGAAGATTTTTGTTAGGTATTTCAGACATCAGAATTTATGATATTATAATGAAAATAAATATTTGAGGAYTAGATGCCATAAATCTAAATCTGTTAATTCAACCCCCAATTAGAATCCTTGGTAAATATAAARTTATAAAATTTAAAAAATTTAAATCAATAAAAACAACAAAGTATACTTCAATAATTTAATTCATGAAATATATTAATATTGAATATTATTTATATATTTATGCTTTTGACAATATATGTTTTTTTCGCGGTCTGTCCTTCATTTTTCTCTATAACAAACAAATATACAATTATGATAAAAATATTTTATTAAATGATAAGTTAATTTTTAAAAGTAAAAATTTTATAGTATATTAGGGATAATATTATCATATTAGCTAAAAGAATTTGTATACTGCATAACAAAAAAAATTTACATTTGTATATGCAAGTTTTTCCAGGTTTTAGTGCAGACAGGATTTTTTTAGACCTAATAGTTTTAAAAAACGAAAAAAACTAAAAAGTATAATATTATGTAGATAATAACAGTCCAAATTGTCACAATCATAATCTTTATTTTAAGAAGTAGACAATATTTGAACATAGTGATATATGGTTATATTATATTATTACTGAATAGGCCCAAAAACTAAAACACAGTAARTCCCAGGCAGAAATCCCTGCCCCATGCTGTGACCAGGCTGGTCCTATGTATATTTAACCATATTCATTATTAACTATGTCAATTTCAATTTTAAAAACATAACATGTTCTCAATATGGCTGTTATATAGTAATGCTGTTTACCAGTGACTCACAAATATGTCAGAGTTCACTTTTACGAAATGTTGAAGCATTGTTATTGAAAGTCATAAAGATGTTCTTTATTTGAAAGAGATTAGACCGTATCTATTAAAGATCAAAATCCGGTATAAAAACCAGCCGGCTATAGGTAAGCCACATCCTATAGCAGATAACGGCCTGTAGAACGTGTTAGCTGGTAGACCACATACTATATGATAACCTCCATTTTATTTTGCTTTTTAAGTATTTAACTCAATATGCTATGACTAGCCAATTAAGTTGTACTACAATACTAATACTAAAAACATATACTAACCTTAGTTGGGAATCTCATACAACTGTGTTYTATTAAACAGCATTTGTTAMATTCTTTGCAATGTTTCCATGTTCTTTTCACACATTTCTTACACAAATTACAGTGTATGTATGCACGACCATTCTGTAAAATTAAATATTTAATGAATACAAAACCATAAAATAAATATTGATATTGACAGATTATAATGTATAAATTTCAAAAAATGATTTTACAATTAGGTAATTCATTTAATCTTCCATCGTTTGATGACTATACTTATTTCAATAATAATTGATAGCTTGTTGAAATGAAGGTTTTAAGAGGACACCACAACATCAATTATTAATCTATGAAATAGTTTTATGCTAAACAAACCTACAGAAACAGTATTCACAGTAGCTCGGCCAATATTTCACAATATATACATATTAAAAAAACAAGTGATGGACTTTTTTTAAAACATAATTTTTTACTAATAGACAATCCAAATCATTCATTCTAAAGAATAATTCATATAGATTTTTACTTTGATAATTACAAAAAGGTCTCAGTATATTACATACTATTACAAGTCAGTTTACAAATTACGATTAAAATTAAAATTTAATGTTATGCCTTTATCTAACCCATTATAGAGAATATGTGTCCTTTTTAAATTAGTAAGAGTTGATTTTATTTCTAAACAAATGTAATACTAAATAGAGTTTATGTTTAAATAAAAAATAATGTGATATACCAATGATTATCTATCAGATAAGTCTTAATGGCAATAACATAATATTAATTTAAATTTTTTCTTATGCTAACAGAAATCAATAAAATATATTCCCTAAATTCTTGTGAATCTACAAAAATTAACTATTTTTTTTAATTACTTTAATATATTTGGATATTTGAATTTTTTTAATGGTTTAAGATAAATAATAAGTATTTATACAAACTATAAATTTGAATTTTTTAATAACATCTTTTAAAAATATATTTACCTTAGACGTACAACTATTACACTTGTAGCAATGTACATTTTCTGAGCAAACCCATCGATTACATTCATCACAAAATCTATAATTTTCCTCAACCGGTAAAGATATCTTGCATTGATCTACATTTGTGAATATCCGAATTGGAGACCCTTTATTCCTTCCTTTATATAAAATAAATCTATTTTAGTATTTACAATTGAAAAAACAGTTTAACAACATTAAAAAAATACAAACCAGAACTATTAAATTTCTTATGATTTATGTAGTCAATTTTATAATCTAGCATTGACATACCAGGTAAGCAGTTGACCACAAAACGTTCCATAAAATAAGGTAATACCAGAAACTCTAAAAAATAAATYACCCATTTGATATTAATTTAAACACAATAAAAAGGATRAAATATGTTTACTTGACAATATGCTTTTGTTGTTTTTTTTCCTAATTTGATCAAATTGTTTTAGTGTATATGCTAGTGGTTCAAGTCTGCCACCAAACGGAGGATCTATGAATACRGCTGTAGAATCTCCCTGAGTCAGAATATCTTCTAACACAAACTCTGTGTCACATTCTTCAAGTATATGGCAATTATACATGTTAAACCATCTGAAATGRTGACTTTCATAAAATTGCAGCTGAAAGAAATATAAATATTAAATTTGTACCATTAAGTCAGAAAATAATAAATAAATATTATTTGACATACATATCTATGATCAATATCAAGTAAAACACTGTTCATATCGGGCACATCGCATGATATCCTTTCATGTATAGTAGGAGCACCGATACAAATAACATTAGTTGTACCTACAGAGCGAAACATTTTTATCAACATTTCAATTGTGTTTTCAGTAAAAAAATACTGAGATTCGCTTTTAGATTCTTGAAGTGGTCTAAACAACTAAATTAATTCAACACATTTTATACCTCATTAATATATTTTAGTACTAAAATAAGTTTATAATTAGTACCTGTGAAGGGTGAGATAATTTTAAGTCATTTATATTTTCTACTAGCATTTCACCATGGTCTGAATGCGAATCCTGTTCAGTTTTAGAAAACAATTCTCCACATTTCTGACAGAAACATCTTTCTTCTGGGCTTAAATTCTTCACRTGATTGAACCTGAAATATATTTAAAACTGTTTTGAAATGTCAAACATTCTTGATATTTTATATTATAGACTACCAATTAAAAATGTTGGGGCCTAATGTACTGACAACCATAGAAGGGTAAGAAAGTATTTTTAATCATAAAAAAGATTGAAAACCAAAATATATGTAAAGTATTTATTGTAATTTCATTAATATATTTTTTATTTAAACTGTAAAATTATATTCTATACTCCCAAAAAAAATTCAATTGAACTCTATACTTTTTATTTGTAGAGGAATACTATTCGATTCATCATTTTCTATGTCCAAAATATAAATTGTCCAAGCCTATAAYAATAATTTGAATAAAAGTCTAATATATAATATGATTGTGCTCTTGATAGCTCAGTTATGACGTTATGTTTAAATATGAGTGGTTTTAAGATCCATTACGTCATAAATCCAATCCCAATCATTAGTAGAATCCCTGATGATCAAAAGATGTGTCATCACGTTTCCACAGTTCATACATCAATTCGATGACCAYTTTCCTGACACATCCCACATCTAAATACTATAGATCACAATTATATGAAGCTGAATTAACTAGTTATGACTACTGCATAGTATTTGCATCTATAGAGGTGAATTGTATTGTTCATATTAGAAATTYATTTTATATCTAAGTTGTGGTTGACATAATTATCACTTTATCAGTCTACACAATTGTATGCCAAATATTAGTTAAGTGCCTGAATGACTCTTTGATATATCTAAGTATATTAACAGTATTGGATTCATCAGATTCAACCTTTCAAACATATTATATTGTAGTAACAGAACCTAATTATATATTTGAGTATGTAAGTCTATATCATGGTCTTAGACCTAAAGTAAACTGAAATAYAGGTATGCAGATTTTTGAAATTTGAAAATAATTTGATTTTTTCCAAACATGGCACTTTTTTATTGAGTTATTTTTTACATAGATTTGGAAATTTTTACCATGAAATATTTTGTAACATGTTATTTTTACCTATGTCAAGTTTAATTTGTATTTGACAAAATGTTTAAAATTGTCCATGTTATTTTCTAAATACACTCCTAGCTATAAAATTACTTTTTTTATACATTGCTGTCAAATTAAAAGTAATTAGATAAATTAATGATAATCACTTGGATTGTAGTTTGTATCTCATCATTTTTGTAACAATGAGATCTCTTTCATACTGATCCATAAATTGCTGTCCAATTGATTCAATTTGATTTTCCCACACAAAAAAAGAACATTTTTTTCGATCTCTATGTGCCGAGCAAGAGTAAAACTTTTTATTGTCAGATCCTCGAGAAAACAATAGTGTTGGTCCTTGAAACAAAAAAAAAAAAAAATGATAGACTTAGTCAATCAATAATAAGCTAATTATACAATGGAACAAAATTGTTGTCTTAACTAAAAAAATTTATAAAATAATTAATTTGTAAGCAAGTACTAACAAATACTGTTATTGAAAATGTTGACTGGACACTGCAATAGATGATGATTATGATTCATTTACATCACAATTTTGGTTTATTGATGTACGAGTGCGTGCCCAAAAGAAACCGAACTATTTTTGTACAAAGTTATTTATTTAATTTTTTTACAAAAAACATTTAATCTCCTTCAAAGTACTCTTCCTTGGAGTTAATGCACTTRTCCAATCTTTTGTTCCAATTATCGTAGCATTTTTTAAACTCATCTTTTGTGATGCCTGCCAACGCCTCCGTCGTTTTTTTTTTACTTCATCGATGTCCGCAAAACACTTTCCTTTCATGTCTCTTTTCATTCTTGGGAATAAAAAGAAGTCGCAGGGAGCCAGGTCGGGTGAATAGGGTGGATGGGACACAGTGGTCATACCATTTTTGGTCAAAAACCGCCGTACAGAAAGGGCTGTGTGAGCAGGAGCATTGTCGTGATGAAAACACCATTCCCCCGACTGCCACAAATCAGGTTTGTCAAATCAATGTTGATGGTTTCAGGGTGTCATATCCATAGCACCATGATTCGTCACCTGTAATGACCTTGGCAAAGAAATTTGGGTCATTTTGGAATTCTTCTCTTCTTCTCTCAAAGAAGAGCATGATTCCACACGGCCTTGTTTTTGCTGCTCAGTCAGCAGTCGAGGAACACATTTTGCAGCCACCCGTCTCATCCCCAAATCTTCACTTAAAATTCTCTGTACTGAACTCCATGTCACACCAGATCTCTCCGCTACTTCTTCGATGGTTTGCCGTCGATCTTCCAGGATAATTTTGTGAATATTTTTTACATTTTTGTTGGTTTGCAACRTCGAAGGACGTCCAGAGCGAGCTTGATCTTCTATCGACATTTAACCACTTTTGAAACGAGTAAACCACTCAAATACTTGAGTTTTCTCTAAAGCATCACCTTTGTAAGCCGTTTTCAACATCTCAAGGGTTTCTGTGTCCGTTTTCCCGAGCAGGAAGCAAAACTTGATGGCCCGCGCGCTGTTCATGCAAATCAGCCATTACAAAAACGACGGGTACGCAAAATAACTTTTAAAAAAAAAATTACACCAACGTAACGCAACGTTCTACGATGACGACCGTTGGTAATTTGGCATACTGAATTTTGAGATTTATGTCTATACGCCCCAACCRGCAAAAACACGGTACTATTAATACTCTGTCTCGCACAACAACAGTTCGGTTTCTTTTAGGTACGCCCTCGTAAATACACAAAAAAAATAATTACCGTGAGAGCATTGAGGATGTGCGTTCAAATTGTCCATGTGAACAGCAACAGTTTTGATGTACTCCTCCGTCATCTTTGTGTCGAAAAACAGCTGGCAGCGTGAAAAACAGTTAATATTACCCTGTGTGGTTGATCAAATGGTACTTATTTCAATGTGGGTATTAGAAATTAGAACAGAAAGATGTTAAAGTAATAGTTAGAAGACTTAATTGGTAAACTGACAAAATGACCGCTTTATAGAACCCTCAGTACTATCTACAGCACTACAGCATTGATTAAATATTTACTATTTACCTAAATACAATATGACGACAGATTCCACTGATCCCAGAAACGAGGTTCAAGAATACTAAAATTACAACTTTGTAGACTAAAACCACGACACCAAATTCTTCATAATATAACTTGTGTCCTGCACTCCTGAGGTGCACTGAAATTTGAGGCTGTCCCAGACTACAACTGTCTAGTCTCTATTGTCTAATGAAGTAATGACTAATAATGGCAATGACTAATGAGGCTGGCGAAGACATCACGTGTGTGAATGATTGTTGATTTTTAACTTCTATTATCATTTGTAATTTTTTYAATCCGGCTTTTTATCAACATTGAACTCTATTTGATAATGATAATGATTATCATGCTCAAGTGATAACGATGATAAGACTCGCAAGAGTTTGTACAAGACGTAAAAATGGAGGGAAATTCACTAAATCTTGAAATCGAATACCCATAATTCTTGTAAAAGATTTACGGTATTTGAAACGTATTAATYGAGWACCGGGCTGTTTAATATACTACTTTAATTTTCATATATTAATCCGTGGTTTCGCGTTCTGCTAACCATCCTGATTCCTGAACTCCAGAATTCTTACCTGAATGGGATACGGTGAAATTAGAAATCGTACGAAACTTACATAGCGACTTAMATCAATCGACCATTTGTCTGTCTAACATCCACCGAGTATGGTTAATTTTGTGGCTCAMCATTTCCTCAGGTGTCATTCAAAGTCCGACAATGATTCGGCTGACGTTTCTACACAGGTAACTACTAATATCAGGTAATAACTAATTAGACTTGGTATATAGAACAATTCTAAAACAAACTGGACGTAATAATGTTGTCACACTCAGTTTGTTAATGTATCATTCATTGTTGCTTGTAGGTATGGTTTGCGGCCTTCGAACCATCCAAAACATCCCACTTAGTGGCCACGTGTGGTGGTAACAAAGTCTGTATTATTGACGCAGAAACCGGAAAAGTCCAATATAGATATACTTATCCCAAGTAAGTCATTGAATTATATTACAGCTTTTGCTTCTCATTCTCAGATAGTTGTACCACAAACTACATGTAAATTTGTCATATACTCTGTGTTGGTACAAGTTAAAAACAATATTTTTATCTACCAAGAACCTAGATCATAAAATATGTTAAAAACACATTCAATCAAACACATTATGTAACATCATACAATACCAAGTATATTATACTGTTATTAGATTCTTGTAAATTTAAAAAAAATTWTGATATACCTACCAAGTTTTGTTAATTTTATAGTGATCAAGTCATATAATTATATAATCCTATTTCAAAAGTTATAAATTTATAAGAAATTAAGAATACTATAAATAGTACAGTGGTCGTCGCTTATTAGGCTCACTTTAGGACCATACCATTTTGAGTCCATTAACCAAATAAGTTAATTAGGCAACATTGACAACTGCTTGGTTTGGAAAAGGAATGAATAAGGTAATTTAATTTATCTCCATGATAAAAGCAATTTACTGGTAATGGTTTACATTGCATTTATAGTAAGTTTATTCAATATAAGTACAATAGATACAAGTCTTCTTTATTCATCTAATTTTTAAATCATCCCATCAACTGGTGTTTGTCAAATAGACAAATTAGTATACTTGCAAATTTTAACCAGCTGTTTGGAGTCTAATGGGCAAATGAGTCAATTAACTGTGAATAAAATAAGCGGCAACTACTGTATTCCATTTTAGGGTAAAGTATAGACACTTTGAATACAACTTAAAATGTACACTTCACTACACAAGGCATTGAAACTTAAGTTGCCTTTTTAATTTTAAATCTGAATTTATCTTAAAATAATGAGTAAGATTTTAACTATTTTACATTTAAAAATAATAAATCACCATGTGATATATACATATTATACATACAACATGGGCGTGCAAAATCGCAGATTTATGTAGCAGATACATATATTTTTTGATCTCCCATCCCTTCACACTGTAACCCCCTCTACCAGTTTTCATTCTAAAAATTATAAATAAAATATACTTAAGTAGAAAATTTAAATGTATTTTAATAAACTGATAAACAATAATTATTTAAACTTTAAACAATTAATCTTCATCATSCAACTTTAAGGTTTTAAATTTTCCAATAACTTCATCATAATTTACTGAATTCCTAACATCTTATTCAATAAACATGTATAACAGAGCATCCAGTCGTTCTTGATTTATTGCTGAACATTGTCTTCGCAATGCTCATTTTCAAAAATTATCGTTCATAATAACAACTAGTGATGAACACAGTCAAAAACATTTGAAAATTGATTATAAATTATTGTATGATCATTTTAATTTAACAAATGTGTTTTAAGTTCATTAAAATCCGTGTTAAATATTTCATATTATTTTTAATAGAATTTAAATTGCTAATTGATAACATTGTAAAAATTAAATAATGCATCTCCAGGATTCTATAATGCAATGTTTTTATAATATTCCCAAATTACAGTGGTTAGGCGGAAAAGTTTTTAAGGATAGTCTTTTGATGCCTACCTAAAAAAAACTTATGTTGTGGCTATAAGCGGATGTCCATTGAAAATGTTTGGGGAGGGGGGGGCTAAAATTATTTACATAAATGTAGGGGTTTTCAACCTATATTCCTAAAAAGATTGACCAGTCGATTGCAACACTGGTTGGCTGTTGTATAGGTATATAATATAATATAATATATTTATATATGTATATACTGAGTGATTCTTTTATCATAGAACACTCATTATTTAAAAAAACATTGACTTTTTTTAAAATATTTTTTTACATAGTTTTAAGTTGTTAAAAAACCAATGCTTTTATTAAAAAATCATATTTTTTAAATATTTTTTTATCCTAATCATTTTTTAAGTTTTTTACTTTTTTGAATGACAACATAGAGTTTTAATTTCATATTCCAAAGCAGAATATTTTTCTAAGTATTTTAATTCATAAAAATCAAATTTAGCGCTAGTAATTTATGAGTTATAGCCTTATAGGTATTTAAAGTTTAGATTGGCAGAGTGGAATGGTACGGGGTTACCCCGCAAAATGTTTGTCCAYTACTCCGCTTGTCTAAACTTAAAATACTTATAACTCATTAACTACTCGTTTATTATACTATCCTGGATATCCACCAATGAGTGTGGCTCTTCAAGTCAAATTTGTGCACAAACCTATAATATACAAATACAATCAAAATGTAAAATATTTATTCAATTTATATTTGTTAGGATTTTTCTGAGGAAATACATTTATCCTATAGACAGGGTTGGGAAAGATACACTTAAAGCAGTATCGAGATACTAGATACTCGATACTTGGCTTTGGAGTATCGCGATACTTAATACTCGATACATACATTTTAATAAAATTAGTCACTGGTTTTAAAAAAAAAAATATGTTTATTATTATGGGGATGACCACCTCCGTTAAATATGGCAAATAAAATAATAAAAATTGACACTTATTCAATAATAACAAAACAAATCAATTACGACATAACATAATCTCGCTGTTGTCAACGATGCAATAATAATCACAATACAATTCCAGAACAATTAAATAATAATAATTATATAAATACATAATAAAAATAATTTTAGTAATAACATAATGTCCTAAATCCTAATAAATAATAGTTTATAATTTTATGATTTATCGGTACTGAAAAATAATTTCCAAGGGCAAGATACTAAAAAAGCAGTATTGAGATACTAGATACAAGATACTTTGCTTTGAAGTATTGCGATACAAGATACTCAATATTTCATATAATTGTATCGAGATACAAGATACAATTGTATCAAAGATACTGCCCAACCCTGCCTATAGATTTGGAGTATATTTTTCAGTGAAAATTTTTTTATTCAATAAAAATAATCATTGATTATATGAGTATGTAATAAAAAATACAAAAGAAATTTGTTTGATTTTACTATGGCTTTTTTTCCTGTTATACTGTTATAATATAATATATTATTATATAAGTTTTAAAATTTTATTTTAGAATMTATTATACCTAGTAGGAGTTAATTCTAATTGTTATATTTTTATAGAGGATTGTTGTATACATTATCTTGGAGCACAGCATGCCCCCACAATAATATATTGGCCACTGGCGGGACTACTAATACAATTGTGCTTATAGACAAGTCATCCAAATTAGCATACCTTCACTACAGTTTGTTCCAAGGAAAAAATAGAAACAAAGGAAAAGTATTTATTAGTTCCATTTTATTTCATCCTTCCCAAAATGTATTGTTTTGTAAGTATTTCCTTAATCGCCAATTTTTGTTGTAATATTTATATTCATTGATATGTGTTGGTCTGTTTATAGGTGCATTAAGCAATGGATGCTTGTACATACTCACATTTGAAACTGATGAAAGTCGTATTATAAATCTTGAACATCAATATTTCATTGATCTCAAGTGTGAAATATTTGGATTAGTGTTTTGTGAAAAAAATGATTATTTACTCATTGCCACTAATAAAGGTTTAAAAGGATGGAATAACTTTCAGAGGTAATACAATCATTAATATTAAAAATAATTTATTTATTATATTTTAAAATATGAATGGGTCATTCATGTAGTGCCTAGTTGATCACAGATCACTATTAAGGCTAGCATCGAGCATAAACTTTAGATAGTGYATTTGATCTGTTTACAAGAGTGGGTGGTTAAAAAAATCTTTTAAGTAAAACAAATACTGTTACTTGATGCATAAATTGTAAATTAATGATGTCAGCGCCATGCACATCAGATCTGTGTAATCCAACCTGGTTTCATATTTTTTTTTTAAGTACAGATTTATACAAAAATCATTAATCTTTCTTAACTACTAAAATTTATGTGTAGCAAGGATCAAGAACTTATAGATTTTGAACTTCCAAAAAATCCTAATGAAATGTATAAGGATCAAAATGAAAGTGTGATTGATTCAGTTGAGATTGTTAAAGACAGTTGGATTGCCACTAAAGTGGCACTACACGGAGTTATTTACATTTTCAATCTAGATGCAATGCTGCCTAAAACTAARAAAAACAAGTGTGCAGTAAAACCAAATTATATACTTCAATGGAGTGATACAGACAACTATTTCATGAGCTGTAGTGTTGGTCTTGGTATGTATTTAACATTATTAAAATTGTAATTAAAACCCTAATATCCTATTTTATTCACACATATTACAGATGGCAAGCTCTTAGCGTGTGGGGATGATAAAGGTAGCATATGGATTTACGATCTGAAGGACATTGTCTTCAAATCTTCAAAAAGTGATTCCAAGGTCATTACCGTCAATTCAGTTTTGAAATGGCCCAAACTTCAAGACAAGTTTTTGAAAAAGAAAAAGAAATTGGAAGTAGATGTTTATGACATAGTAATAGCTAAATGTGCTGTGCACTCTAGTGGCAAATATCTTGTAGCTGTAACTAATAATAATTTAGTTTGTTTATATAAGAAGTCAACAGTAAAAAAATAAAATACGATTAAGAATTAATATTTAAAGTAGTTTTATTTTAATTAATAGGAAAAATTACAAATTGTATATAAATTAAATAATTATTATTACAGACAAAACTTATAAGTTATAACCCCCTTTTTTTTTTTTTAAACAATTTACAAACTTATAAATTACGTCAGGTCAACGGATAACTTAAGGGTCCATGTGTACAATGCTTAAAAAAAAGAAGGAAATTAATTATACTTAAGTATCACAATTTTTTTGATAAAAAAACTAATCCACAACAGGGAACATAACTTGAACAATGGACATCTTAATTAGTGCCAGTAGATCCAAAACCACCTTCACCTCGAACAGTATCATCCAATGTCTGAAATATAATAACAAAGATAATTAAATAAGTTGTGTTAAAGTAATAAAAATTATACAATATACCTCGAGCTCTACTACTTCTGGACATACAATCTTCTCACATATAAGTTGTGCAACTCTATCCCCTTTATTTACTATGAAGTCATCATCAGAATGGTTGTATAGTAGAACACCAACATTTCCTCTATAATCGCTGTCAATCACACCAGCTAAAACACAACAGTAAAAATGTAAGAACAATCTAAATAACTAGTTATTTGCAGTGGTAATACGCACCACCAACATCAATGAAATTTTTCCAAGCAAGACCAGAACGTGGGGCAATACGGCCATAGGTACCTTGAGGCACTTTAATTTGGATGTCGGTTTTGATTAGCTCTTTTCCATGTGCTTTCACAACATATGAATAGGCACTGTGAATAAATAAACAAATGACAGTGAGTATTGTGGTTACAATGACTGGTATAGAGAATAATAACATCCAGCGGTGGTGCTTAAATCCATTTAATTCACAATAATGTATATTACCGTCCACCAATCACAATACCATAGATTCTGTGTCGTATTTCCTAATAAACACTAAACATGTGGTTACATAAGCATTTTTTAAGGATAGTAAAATATCTTATAGTTAGGTATATTTTATAGGGGTGGAAAATGTATAAATGTATACCTAGGACTATTATAACACAGTTAGGTCTAACATAATATTGTAATAACATAAATCAGTTTTTATTTAAAAATTAATGTTTGGTAAAAATATTTCATATTAAGTTATTTTTTCAAAAATAGTAATACAAAAGTTCTAAAAGAATGTAATGTAAAATGGAAGCAATTTATTCAAAGGTTACAGCAGCACAGATATATATAAATATATACATATATATTTAAGTATGGCTCATTATAACCTATCATAGGGAGTGTCATCAAAAAAGCATGGACCTGAACACGAGCTTAGAAGTCAATGACTTTTAGAGGGGCGTTGTCTCCACATGGTTATAGGTGTCTAATATTATAATATACCTTACAACTAGTAAAAATATGATTGTTATGTGGTAGTGATGAAGAACTTGAAATCCAAACATTATAATGTCAGTTTAATAGTTCTATACTATAAAAAAAAATAGTTTACCTCTTCAAATCGTAACCTGCCGAGTAATCGGTACCCCTGATGGGGGTGAAACCGTGTTCAGTGAGTTTGGAAAAGGCCAAAACGTTTTCGTCGATGCATTTGCGTACTTTCTTCATTGGGCTAGGCATGGTGATATGAAATTCAACGTAGTACGGATAAACGTTAAGATTTAAACGAAATAGTTGGTACAAAAATGTGTATGCCACACGGGWGGTAGGAAGAGAAAAGGTGAGCAGCAACGGCGGTTGGCGAATGACKAATGACAAGTGCTTGGAAATGAATATGGCGAATGGTAATCGTCGTTGTGTGATGTGTCGAGTAAAGGCAAACGCGGGAAACTTGTTTTTTTTTCTTTATCGCGTTGTAAAGAATGAACGTTTTGCCTCCAATTTGGAAAACGCGGGAACAACCAGCGTTCACAAACAAACAGTGTGACCTCGACCGATGGCCGAACTAATCTCGCCAACTCGTCTAAACCAAAGATGTGCTAATAACTAAATTGTAGTGTTTCGCCCGCGCCCGCGAAATCAGTTTTGAAAATACGAGTTAGAAAAAACWYAAATAAGAATGTTTTTTACAATCAAGACATCAAGTCGATGATTGTCATGTTAGGAGAGCGGCAAGAGAATGAAAAAAATCAACCGAGTATTAAAAGACCTTGAAAKGTTGCGGAACAAAAATTTAATTCTAATAACCAATATTGGATGTAATCTTGTAAACGAATAAAATCATTTATATTATCATTTTTATTTTTAGTAAATATTATCGTATCMTGATGATTATGAAAGTAAAACATCTTAGAAGTAAGCCTTTGACGTGATTCATTTGATTTGTTTTTTGTTAATCTTTTTCTATYTAGCAATGTAATGCTCCTTCTATTGAGTTGTTCATTGATCCGACTGCATGCCATGTACAGTCTTCCGATATCGCTATACATTTGCTCGTTCATTGTTTTTCACGAAACCAGTGGCTTTCAGAGCTATTTTTTGACAGCCGTTTTATATGATGTGTAGCTTCGATTTATATTTTACACTTAAATGTTTTTACTTTGTAATGACGTTATACATTACATAATAATTATGACATTTGCATTATCATTTATWAAACATAAATTAGTTTWTAATCCATTTATATTAGTCTGTTTTAGTTCATAATCTATAATTTTAATAGAATGACGATATTATTTATATGATTTCCGCATAACAAGGTAAATTTATAAATTTTACCTTGCCTAGTGCAAGGTTTTTCGTATGGGCATTAATACTAACACGACAACGCGTTTACGATTAACTTGTAATTAAATAATACATACAATTCATATGTATGTATAATATATTGCTATTGCATGTATTAATACCAATAAAGTTATCGTGTTCATAATTTTTAATTATATTTTATATTTATGAGTATAATAATATGTTGAAACTTTTCAAAAATGTAAATGTGTAATTTTGTATGATATGATATTTTTTTTCATATATAATATTGTAATTGATTTGGTATTGAATATTGTGGATAAATATAACAAAAACTTTATAGAGTTCAGTGCATTACCAAWTATGACATTCCGGTTTACTAGTAACTAGTAGTGAGGTACTCACTAATTATTATATTATAATTTATAACTCATCATGCATTGCATATAACTATCAACTGGTATAAGTATAAACTACTGAGTTATAAAAAATATTTTTGTTTAGTTGATTAAAATATTGAATTATTGTTAGTTGCCACAAAGTATAAGAGCATACTATTTTTTTTTCATCATTAAATTACAATAAATTATAATTSATATACAACAACCCAAAATCAATAGTTATAATAAATACAAACTGTAACGTTATTATAAATTTTTATATTATTATTATTATTCAACTATATGTATAAACCAAAAAGCATTTAAAATGTTAATTTATTTRCATAAAGTCTATTTTGTAGAACTATCTATACTACTATAYTAAATTAGATAATTAGTGGAGACAGATAACTAAAATTGATACCTAATAGCTAATTCAACTACAAACGTCAAAGTATCTGACTGTCATTTACTATTATAAATAGTAAATACCTAATAAGTAATAACGAATCTATAATATAATAATAATAGAACAAACTTAACCACTTGATGACAGTGCACTCAATTCACCTACGTGACTATAAATTGCCTATGTATTTGCCGTTTACACAAAACATAATATTGAAATATTGTATCCTTAAAAGTAAATTATATTTTAACATAATAGAATAATACCTAGAAATGGCAAAATAGACAGTTCGTCTCATTGTGCATATTATTCTTAGMATTTATATTTATACCTAGGCATTTAAAGTCATCCATTTTCTCAACGGTATATTGGCCTTAATATTTTGTGTTTTGATAGGTAATCCTGGGTATGACCAAATACTTGGTTTTATACTCATTAATTTTCAATATTATTCTTAGGATGATTTTATTAACTTAAGTGTACATAAGATTTTATTAGTTTTATTATGACAGGTCAAACAATACAAGTATGGAATATAATTCAAATTACCTACAAGATAAGTTATTAATTTTAACTTTAAAATCATCTTAAGCCAATAAAGCCAATATGCCATCCAGTCAGTATTTGGTAGGTCATAGTCTGACTGGTCAGATTCATAGTTTCACTCAAGTACGACAGTGTACCTACCCATTTTTGTTTTCAGCCTAGCTGCAGTAAACAAAAACAAAAGCAAAAAAGTTTTGCGAGCCACTCAATTCTTCTTTTGCTTAAACTCATAATTCATTTAATTTATGATATAATATTTCTAAAGGAAAATTATACAATTGTTTTGGAGCATAATATGGTAATTAGTAGTTACCCAATATCATGCATATATATAATATATGGCTCATTCACAGATCGGCGAGACAAGCGTGCGTGTACAATAATAAAATGGCGAATAAAAATTATTATTATTATTATTAGTTTCCGAGCATTAGGGTAATCGAATGTATAGTACATATAGTACGCGTGTATATCATTGTATTTTAGGGGGTGCATAAAATGATATCGGCGCCTGCGAGGCCACGCGCATTGTCATTGAAGACGAAGAGATGTATGAGCTTTGTATACAATAATATATAAATATATAATATTATAGTAAAATAAATACGTATAATATAATGTTATATTATTATAATATTTTGTCGCACGTGTGTACGTGTGTGTGCGTGTGTGTGTGTATGGTGTGTATGTATGTGTGCGTTTTTGTGTGTTTGCCGATGTGAAAAATATTCATATACCTATACCATACACATGTAAGGTACGTATATAATAATATATATACAAGCGGGTACACCACATTCACATACGTACTACATTATTATATGTATAGTATTTTACGGAGATGCAAACCGACGACAATAACAGTACCGCTATATATATATATGTTTGTATACATGTATGTACATAGTACATACATATGCAGTATACATAATATGAAATAAATCCATTCATCGTATACCTACTTGATATTATATACAGTGTGATTCACAAAGCACGCTCACTCCTTATTTCTTTTACTAATGTATTCAATGAAATTCTGATTTTTAGAATTTTGAAGTAGGTACTTATACTTGATGGCTATATTTGTAAATAAAACAAGATTTTTTGTACCCTATCAGAGGTCTCTTATAGAGATATAATAACTTCTGTTTTTTAAATGAGACTATTCCTTTTTTAAGTGACTCTTCAACACTAAGTTAATATATATTTTTTAAATGCTGATGACTTGAATACTTGATGTATATTACRTTACCATCAATGTCGAAAATCAGTYATTCATAAAAATGGCTAATTTTATTAGGAAATGCTGACATTGCCTAGACCTTGGTCGCCAAATGGCGGAATAATRTTATTCGGTCCGCGGATAAGAAAAAAAAATAAAAACAGTTATCTAAAATAATATTATGATATTATATGTTATAGTGTTGTAGCTTATAATTTTTGTTCGTTGATTTACGAACGATTTTCAGATTCTTAACTCTTCAAAAATATTAATTGGTATYCCCTGACCTAGAAAGTAGGTACCTACAATGAAATATATACATTTCAACATTTGATTGTCATAGTGGATAMTATTTAATTTATTTATTAGAATATTACTTAAATCGACAAAACTATTTACTACTATAAAGATTAAAAATTAAAATAAATTATCTATTTTATTAATGTTCACAAGACATACTACTTAGGCACTTAAAATAACATAATTTTGTTGCTCGACTAGCACATCGTTTATTTTTGCATCTGATTTGGATGAAACCTTTGATATCCCTGACTTTCTATTCGGCAGCTTCTCAGAAAGTGATTTAATTTTATTGACTTTATTGTGTACGATTTACTCTCTTAAAATCAAACAATGTTTATCACATGTTACTATTTTTGTAGGATTGTTCTTAAAAACCCATGTATAAAAACAGTTTTGGAATTTTTTACTTCTTCTAGCCGTCTGCTATATTCCTCATCACTAAAAATGATTAATTATCTCCATGTTTTTTAATCAATAAAAACAAATAGATCTATTCATGAATCTATTTCATGGATTATTCCATTATTTATTATTAAAAAGGTCATACACTTTATAACGATATTGCAACACGATAATATTTAGTTAGTATAATTATTTTGTTAAAGAYAAATGAGAGCAGGTAATGTGATAAATCGATAATCAGCTTAGGAAATATTGATATAAATCAAAATTTAATAAAATTTTTATACAAAGAAAAATAATTCTTAAAAATAGTTTTACAAAAGTATAAAATTTAATCATTTTCTAGTTCTTACATTTTCCTTGCTATTCTTGGAAAATTTTTATAAATTGTAAAATGTTAATACCTATATTAGTGTTAATTACTATAGTACTCGGATTATTAAAACCATCATATCTTTTAGCCCATTATCATGGACAATTATAATTATTTTTAAAATAAACTCGGAAACTACTATATATAATGTATACCTTCAAATTACAAATTAGATTGATACCTATAAAGATATTTCTTAAAAGATAAAYCGTTGAATAATATATGTATATAGTAGTTTAGGAAGGTGATTCTTATTTGATACAAATATAGTAAATTTACATCGTAACAAAATACTACCTAATTAAAATTTAAAAAGTATATAAAATAATCTAAGTAACTGAAAATATGGTGTCTTCTATATTCGGAAATCACAAAAATCACATTTTGAATAACTGAATTATTGCGTTATTGAAAAAAAAAAAAGGGGGTGATCATGGTCGGCATAACACCCTGTACATAAATATACATAACCAGAGCATAGATATCAAATTCTAGTAGGTGTCGGTTAT